CAACGGTGAATTCGGTATCAGATTCCTCTGGGCAGACAACAACACTGAGTTGTACATCGGCTAGCCCCCACAAGTCGTTGCATAGGCGACACCGCATTCAATAAGCTATTACATACTGGATGAAGTAGAATGCATGCCGCATCCCGAAAAGGGATTGATTGACGGCGGAGGACTTTTTCCTTTATCCGTTAAGGTCGTGTACTGGAGGTTACAGGGACAAGACTGCCATGAAACAATTGATATGGCGCCAAGACGTTCCCTGAGTCAACTACTCCGTACCGAATTTGTCGTTAGTATGGTAGTCTGGTACCACCCCAAGTTAGCATCAGCTATTAATTTACCAAATTATCCCAAAATTTGCGAAGGAGCACGTCCGATCAACCTAAAACAAAAGCTAGATTGAGGACGACGCCACTAGAGGGGGAGGGACATGTGAAACTGGAGGACCCAAGAACCTATAAGATTTCGAAACCAACTATGGCCCCAGTCCCCTTCAGCGGCCAAATACGACCATCGACTCTAGCGTACGTGCCCTGCCCTGGGCAGTACCCAACAAGGTACAGCATGTGTGAGATGATGGTGTCAGTACGTCAGTACGACCCCCCCCCCCGAAGGAGGGTCTCGATACGATCCTTCACCTATGAGAGGGTCTCGGTACGACCCCCCCCTCCCTCCTTCCCCAACACCTGCCTACCACTTTCCTAAAGTTCCCAGCTTCCTACCAGTTTTTCCGAAATTTCCCACATTTTCCAGTTTTCACCCAAAAATTTCCGTGAGCGGGGGGGGGGGGGAGAGAGAGGAGAGGGTCATCAAAACCAACTACTATTTTCAACTATCGGAAATAGTAGATGTATAGAACTTTGGCGGCGCTATCAACGGGGGAGGGGTCGTCTGGAATCAACTATTATTTTAAACCAAAAGTCAACAACCGGGAAAATCATTTTCCAACGCGGCAACTTTCTCTCAAAGGCACATTCGACTGCCCCTCCTCTCCTAACAACGACCAAATACGACCCCCTCCTCACCAGCGGCCAAATATGACGCCGCCCCCTCCCAATTGTTCCACACAACGATGCTGTACTGGTCCCTAACATATGCGTGCCCTAATTGCAATTAAATGAATGTCACAGTACAAATGCAATGCGCCTGGCTTCACCCAGAACGCAGTTCTTGCTGATTCGCTGGATTTTCTTAACCGATACTCCGGTAATTCAAAAAGTGGAACGCTGGCCGCTTTCCCTGTACAACCGAATCGAAACAATTCAATCGTAAGAAAAGATCGAAAGGCGTAAACAACCGGTTCAAATGGATGGAAAGAATGGCATACTTGTTGTAAAACAGGTCTTTGGCGTTCGTTCCTGCAAGACCAGCTGAGAAGCACTTTCATTGTCTTGTTCTGGAAAAGAAATAGGTTTCCAGAGTGAACCATGTCATATAATAAGTTCTATCCCCATACCTTCTCCATTACCGTCCTCAAGACCGAAGACAATCAGTCCACGCTCGGGCAAGTCAAAGTCGGCGACGGCGATTGCTTGAGTGATTTTGAAGACCTGGAACGGCGCTTTTCATGGACAAAATATAAAAAATCTATAAGAAGTATCAAATTAGTGCAGGTCGAATCATTGCGGCTTTTGACATTGCGTTTGATGAAGCCGAGTGTAGGCGCTCTTGATCGTTGTAGGGCCGGCGGGAGCACTCTGAGTTGGTACTTATTTTGAAGAAACGTCCGAGCGAAAATTAAATACGGTAAACCCCGTCTCGAAATATTTCGTTTTAAAAGTACGTTTTATGCTCCCCGTATGGGCGGAGACATGCCTATTTGACATGCCTATTATGATTGTTTCCTCACTAAATGCGGTCGCCCCTCTTTTGCAAGAGGTGAAAGAAGAGCTCGCACTGCAGGAAGGCCACTCAAGGCTCGACCGCCGCTACGGTCGGCAGTGATTGCACCGTTCCTATAGACACTATAAGCCAGCGCTTGTTTTTTCTCTGGGTATTTCAACCTGTTTTTTTCTCTGGGTGAAATACCCAGAGAAAAAACAAGCGCTTTTTTCGCGGCCATTCTTCCATAGTCCCAGTGATGGGCATTGGCCTCCCCTAGACCGTGCCCTGGTCTGTTAGTCTTGTCCTTCTCTCTACTATACTTTCAGCAATTCGGAATGCCCCCTCTATCCCCTCTCCACCTCTCCCCTCAAGATTCGCCAATTTCAATAGCTTTTTCTTCACTGCTACACGCAAAGGTCGATCAGAAAAGCTGATGAAAGAAAGCATAGGACGCTAAAAAGGTGCGGCTCTTTCTTGGGGCTGATCACGAGTTCTAGAGGAGGGAGGGGGCGCAGTGGACCATCAAACGCTTGGCCCCATTTCCAAAGAAGGACCCGGACTGGCGTTGGTGAAATTTCTGTGCAATACGACCCATCTCGGAACTTTCCCTCTGATACGACCCCATTCTCCCGAATTTTTCCAGCTCCTACCAATTTTCTGGTGTTTCTCTTCGAAAAATTGCCGACTACCGTTGAAAGAAAACAAAGACGAAAAAGAAAAACAGGGAAGACCGAGGAAAGTCAACGAACGAAAAATCTTCTCAAAAGGAAATACGAACCAGTTCACCTTCAGAGAACAGAACTACCCCCTTCCCCCAGGCTGGGACTCCTTGAAATACGCCTGCAGGATCAGATTTGACGAAAGGCCCCGAAGTACAAGTTAAACAGCTGCTTCCTATGAGGCCTCTTCCAGCTCAGTGGGGGTGGAGGTTTTTACTTCTCAAGGCGGCTCATATCTCCGATAGCACTAGCTAATTCAGAAGTGGGGTCCACGCTGGTCGCCTGGGCGGAGTCGGGCCCACCATCGCGTTCCTTACTGGTCTATCATTCGCTCATAATGCGATCATTAGAGGGGGGCGTCCACTGAGAAAAGCGGCGAACTACTCCTTCCTCACCATCTGCCTCCGGAAATCCCCAAATGAAATTCTAAGAGTGAAATTCAGCAAAGCATTAGGAAATCTCACAGGTTCCCGATCTCCCGAATTGTACTGAGCATTTGTTCCGTTTAAGGCACATGGTTTGTCTTCCTAAAACATAACTGTAGAAAATAGCACAAAAATTTGAAGAGTGGTGGTATTTCGGGAATCTGAGAATTTCCCCAAAACTTTGGCAAAGTTCGAATTTTGCTAGAGAAAATAAATAAAAAGACCAACGGGTTGAGTTTCATTTGGATGCAGATCTTGGTACGTCGGTCGAATTCCAGGGGCGCCAACGATAATTGGTGGCCGCGACGAACTTGACACATCCAACTGCGGAATGAAAAATTTATTTTCAGACACAATTTTTTTTCTAATTTTCTCTAATCACAGTTGAACAAGAGACTTACCTTGGAGTATCCCGGTCGCACGTTGAAGGGCGCTGGCTCGGGGTATCGTTGCTCCTCGCTTTCATAACCTGGAGGGAATGTAGGTGCGTAGCCTGAACACTACTGATAGCAGATACAAACATTTAATAAATTTCTTCGGAAATAATGGTTTAAGTGGAGAGATGCCCGTTTTCCCGAGCACTACAGGTTTT